CTAGTGGGTCATCCACCCTTTTTGTGCACTATGCCACGTTCTCGCACCCGAGCCACCCGGAACCATGACAATGTTCAATATAATTAACATATAAACATATATAATCAACAAATTAACCTACACTTAAAGAACGTTTCTCTTGCAAATGCAGTTTCTATTATAAGTACTGATCTGGTCTGAAGGTTGTTCTTGCCCTATTAATAGGACCTTTAAAGGGGAAATATGAGAGGCTTCACCTCTGCAATCAGCCCTGCTCGCCCTCTCCCACATTGTAACTCTATCACCTGTATTTGCTAGGATGAGGTATATGAAATAACGAAAACTAAATGTGGAAAAAAGAAACATTTTCGTTAACTGAAATAATATGTGGCGTGATTTCCAACTGCTGGCATCTGGCTTATGAAACAGAACAAAAAACATCTCTTGAGCTTGTGAGGGGAGCGGAGCGGAGCGGGAGCGAGCCCGGAACGGGAGTGGAAGGATTAAAAATAAAACTGAAGCCATATCGCTCCGCATCCTGGGGCTTTACACCCGGAGTCTGAAATATAACTGACCCAGAATGCATTATTTTTTGGATCAAGCGGGGTGAAAATTGACTGGTGCAGGGAGCGATGATCAGCGGAGTGGTCTTCAGTGGCTGTGAGCGGGCGAGCGGGGGCAGCGTACAGCTCTCTTGCTCTCTCTCTCTCTCTCTCTCTCACTCACACACAAACATCTTTTATTGTTGGTTTTTTGTGGGTGATTGTTCATCTGTCATAAGTGAATACATTTTTGAAAATGGTATATTTTGAGTTTTTATAACACAATATTTTTTTCTGACCTATTTGAATTGTGCCTCAGACAAGTACCTTATCTTACAAAAACTAACAAAACACTGATGAAATATTTGTATTGAATCTTTTTTCTAATGGACTTTACTGCTTATGTAATACGAAAAATGTAAAGGTTCATTCATATGAACCACAATCATAGAACAATGGCTGTCCCTATTTTAGCACTGAAAAGGCAAAAATAATAATTTCAACAACCCTATAGATTACACACAACCATTATGTTTTATAGAAGCCAGAGGCCTAATAAGTGACATTACAGATCCTATGGATTCTGTGTGGGTAATGCGAGTTCATTTCAGAGACTAACATAACTATCGGATAACATGTAGAAAGACATTCTCATATGATAATTTTCCACCCAACAGCACCACATGCCGTGACTTACCTTTCCAAGTGTAAGAAGATAGAAAATCTGTGAACAGTAGAAAAAAGTTAACTGCATTTATAGCCATCACACCACATCATTATTTCACAAGAGCAATGATGACTAGGAAGGCAAATCTGCATTTATAGCTGTCAGATACTCCTCTAAAGATTGGAACTGAACCTGGAACATGCTGCTTAATATTAATATATAGTATGCTACATTCATGATTTCACTACTGTAAAAGACCAAAAAACCAGAGGCCCGTCAGTTAAAACGGGGGACCGGCTGGCTCTCATGCCCCACTCTGCTGATGTGCTGCCCCTACACTGTGTGTTATGCTAAGTGAACTAGCCTGTGAATCTGCTGCCAGTTTTTCAGTTTGTCTCAGCCTCCAGGTTATATCTTTCAGTATGACGGCTATAAATGTTCCGTATTGTGACACTGTGATTCTGTCCAAAAACTTTCCACAACGATTCTGGATGTTTCTGAACTTAGCCTGAGTCTTAATGCTTTCTGTATGGAATTATTATTATCCCCCATCCCCTCACCCCCCCCTTTCCCCCTAATTCCCTGCCCGCCTTTCCCGCGCTCCTCTCCACGTCTCCTGAACCCTCACCTTGCTTGGTGGACTGGGGGTCTGCAGCTCAGGTATTGTCTCAAGGAGGAAAGTGCTGACTGACAGAATGATGATTATGATGCTGAAGATGGTGAGGATGCGGGCGGAGCGCGAGGAGTCGGGATACTCGAAAAGCATCCACACGTTACTTGCTATCTTGCCCTCGGGCAGAATGCGCACTTCCTCTTTAGGGAAGCCCTCCTCATCCTTGTAGCGTTCCATGATCTCGTCGCCCAGCTGGTAGAACCGAATCTCCTCCAGGAAAACATCCACCGGGATCTCGGAGGGCCTCTGGAGGCGTCCACCCGACTGGTAGTAAGTGAGGATGGCGTCGAAGCAGACCCGGTTCCGATCCAGGAACAGCTCGTTCCTCAGCGGGTCAAAATAGCGCAGCCGTCTCTGAGGGTCCCCCAGCAAGGAGTCTGGAAACTGGGCCAGCGTGCGAAGCTGAGTCTCATACCTCATACCCGCCACGTTGATGGCCAGTCTCTCGTTCAGCATCCACCCTCCCTTCCACATGTTCCCATAGTGGCAGCCCTTTCCTCCTTCCCCCTTGTTATCCTCGTCATTCTTCATGGCCAAGCTCCTTGTGTTTGCTCTGCTGTGCATCTCCTCTGACCCCTGGCTCCAGTCAGTACCCATCCCTCCTACCTCTCTCTTCTGTCCACTCCTACTCCCCTCATCCATCTCTTCTTTTCCCTGTTGGGCCTCAATGTCTTTTGTGCAATCTGCTCAGATATTAAACACAAAAACACGTTTCACGATCTAAAACCACTCTAAAACAAGAGAGAAACAAAAAACAAACATATTTATAACTATAAAAACTATATTAACTATATTGCCGTGGATGATTTTTACATATGAATCAGTGGTAATAATAAAAATAATAGTTCATGACGATCTTCACCTGCTGCCCATGCACTTGCTCACATGCCTCTACCCCTGCTTTATCAGTTATACATAAATGTAAGAACAGGTAGACAAACACTTGTAAGTGAATACAGAAATAGATAGTCTACTAGACCGACCGCCCCTTGCACTCCTATTAAAGATTGTGACGTAAATTATGTGGCAAATCATTCCAGAGCTTCTCACTTTGAGCATCATGTTCTTCTCTTTATTTAATAAATAAGCATTTACTGTTCAGTTTCTTTTAACAACCCAGATCATTTCCATTGCATTTTAAAAAAAAGCAAATGAACTTAATGGAATAAAAATCATGCATATAACAAGGTAATCAAAAACCGTACAAGGGTAGGAGAGACGGAGGGGGGGGGG